TACCTTTTTATTTCTTGTTTTCCTTTTTTTTTTTTAAAATAAAATAAAATAAACTTCAAAAGAACTTTACGCTCAGGCTACCTTTTTATTTCTTGTTTTCCTTTTTTTTTTTTTAATNTTTTGCTAAGCCCGCAGTTACCACAAAAGATTCCATATTTTGTTGCTATTTATTTGCGTATTCTCTTTGATTTTTTTTATATTTTTTCACTTCACAGAAAGTTTTTTTTTTATTTTTGACTTATTACATAAATATGTAGTACTGTTAAACTTGCTACATTTTGTTGACCTAAGCGTTTTTAGTTTATAAAATTTGTTACACTTTTTTAGCGGTGTGTTAGACTTTTTGTTGTTTCGTATGAATTTCTTTTTGTTTTCTTTATTCTTATTCCTTACCGGCACTTCCATATTTTTCACATATGTATGTATATGTACATAAATACTCGTACATAGTCAATTTCTTAAAATTTTCTTGTTTTGTTGTTTCATTCAAAACGGCAGCTGCGCTTCCTGGAAAATAATTTTACTCGCTGCGCAGCTGCAAATGGCGAGTGAAGAGAATTTGTTTATCGGCGATAGAGATCATACTGTTTTCTAGCACTTTATAATCTTGAATTTGGAATATTATACACATATACACATACACGTATGTATGTCTGTATAATCCATATTTCAACAGCTCATAAGAATTTTGAATGTTTAGGTACCTAATTTTGAGTTTATATGTACGTATGTACACACTCTAGTTTTTGGTATTTATGACGTTCATCATCTGTTCATTAATATTTGAATTAACGTTTTCTAATCTAATTTTGGCATATTTTCTAGCAATCGTTAAATCAATCTATTTAGGCTCGACACACTTTAATGAAAGCCAAAATTTTTAATATTTAATAGAAATCGTTAAAAAATATTGCTTACCCGAAAGTATTCAACTTTTCTGACTTGCTGCTATGGAAGGAAATGAAACTTTACCACGTTTAGTTCCGTGTTGTTGTTGTTGGCCCAATGTAGTTTTTGGGGAATGCTGTGGGAGTGACAGTGCTTGGCCGGATAAAAATTCCAGTCATTCCGGTGTAAAAACCCGATTGTCGTGGGAACTTTTTGGATTTTAGTAGCTTCTTAAGGCAGGCATGTCTTACCGCGGGAAAATTCTAACCTTACCCGCAGCGGATACGTTTACTTCTGTCTCGAAGATCAATTGCCGAGAAAGGTTTATCAATCACAGCCTTATTCTATTTTGTAACCGTTTCATATAAGCAAAAATTAGTGAATTCAAAAACTCACTTCTTCCTTGCTCTAACTTTTTCCGTAAATTCTCTGAATTCCATTACTTTCTCGCTTTTAAAATTGACATGGGTTCGGTTAGGTGGAAGTGGCTGATTCCAAGAGCATCCCAAATCGAATCATAACACACGACCCCCTTGATTCCACAAAGAGTAAAATTATCCTGAACATATTTACAAATGAGTGTCTGTTAAGAACTATCAGTCACAGCATTCCAAGCCAAGTGGAGGCCGCTCAGAAATAGGCCAGTGAAAATCACGCCATGTACTCGTACATCTCTCTCTCCTACAGTAAATTTACAGTGACACTTCACTGCTCATGGTCTTATTTCCCTAAGAATTCCTATAGGGTGGTATAAGTATTTATGTAGAAACTGAATTTACTGAACTGGCCATCTTTTTTCGCTGCTACTGAAGGCCCTTCATGGTGATCTTTTCGCTTTCCTGATCTTGTGCTCAGAAACTCGCAGAGCCACTTTGTAGAGAAGCCATTCGGAGGATAGTTTGCTTCAAAGAGCTTTGTTAAAAGTACATTTGCTTGATATTCTGAATTCGGACAACTCTGTGGTCCGCTAGAGCGGTTTTCCTCTGTGTTCTCAAAAGGCACTTAAGGCAGAACTGGAAACTTTACAAGCTCTTCCTTAGAGCAGCTGCGAAAGCTGAAGGAAGTTTCCCGCAGGGTTTGCTGTAAGAACGGCTTCTGTGATTGGTTCAACGAATTCTGATCAAAGAACTCCAAGCACTTTTCTAAATTGTTTTTTTTTTTTTTAATTATCTTATAAATATATACCACCTACAAGCTACCTTTGTACCAATATCCCGTGAAACGAACCATTAATATGAATTCGCGAATGCGTTAGTCCCTGGTCCACATCGCTGTTGCTCATTCAACGCACTCACTCGTAGTAAAGTGATCAATTCGGACTCGCGTGAACCAAAGATGAGGATGGCCAAATTCATGAACCCCGCCTGGGTAGATACTGCAGAAGGTCTGTCCTGCGTTCTCAGGTGTATTGTACTCTAGATATAGAAAATTAACAAGGCTTAGGAGCGAACAAAAGTTAGTCAAATGCTTCGACGGATTCGAACCAACAACGGAGGGGAGTTGAATGAATAAGTTTTAGTGGATATGCAAACTGTGTGTTCATTTTGCATCAGTTGGTTGAGTACGGATAGATAGGTATATTACACTGGTCTTGCTAAACAGCTGGAGCTATTCTTCTGCTTTGGGTGCTGATTGGATTCCGATTACGTCATTCAAGGGAAAATAGTTCAAGAGGGTGCTGACACACCCTACGTGAATGGTGTTCGGGTCCTGTTATTAGCCCGTCTTGTCTAGTGCACTATGTGCTGTTGGCGGCTTGAGGTGTAGCGTAATGAATGAGTTAAAACTGTCGAATGTGGCATTATCCACTTAAACAAGCAAGTCGGGTCCAGCTGGTTAGGACGGTTGCCGTAGATTTCGCCGATAGTTTCCAATGTCGCTCATTGAAGTAGGAAAGGTCGTAAAAATTGAAGTTTACTTTTAAGCAAAGGTTTTCACTATCCTGCACTAGATGCCAATACTAATCAGCTATCCATATATAATATTAGATCAAAGAAACATCCTCTGGTTGTGGGGGCCAAATTTATCTGCTCAAGAACTCACATTTTCGTCAAATAAATTTAAAATGATACTTTTTTTCATTAATTTAAGGTTCAGTCGGTGTTCCAAATTTTTGGTAGGTCTAGTGAAAACTAAGCCCAATATTTTTACATTACAATGAAGGCTTCATTTTTCGATTTATGTCAAATATGCACCGTCTTGCCCTACAAATTTTTGCCATTTTGAAGGTAATCTCATTATACCTCTCTCATAGCGATCTTGATCCTATTGACAAAACCTTGGGACATTCGAATTTCGCAGGCTTCTCTTTACATGCCAAACCATTCGCCATAGAAAGAAACAAATGGTAATCACTTGGTGCAAGGTCCGGACTATAGTGTGAATGCATGAGAACCTCAAGCTCAAGCCAGCCAAATTTTCGGAACTTTTGGGGAGTCACCATCGATGGGCGTTGTCTGGGCGATTGCTTCCATCTGACGGGTCAATTTCTGGCAGTACAGATCCGAATTAAGAGTTTCGTCGTATGTGTTCGCCGCAGCTAATAGTGGATGATTCCTTGCTAATCCCACCAAACGCATAACACAACTTTCCAGATCGTCAATATTGACTTGGAGACCATTTGTGCCGGCTCACTGCCCTTCGACCATAACCATTTTTGTTTTGAGATTGCTGTAAGTGATCCACTTTTCAGCACCAGTCACCATCCGCTTCTGGAATAATTCGATTTTGTTACGTTTCAGCGGCTATTCGTAGAAGGAAATTCGGTTCAGGAGGTTCTTGTCTCACTAACTAACAACAACTTCTTTGTTTATCCAGTATTTTTCAAGTGGTTCCAAACTCTTTTTCGTGCAATGTTGTCGACACAGTGCTGTCTTGATTGTCAGACTCTCTGTGTTTATCAAACAATGGAGCTTCTTTTGGATCAAAATCCCTGGAACGAAATCGACGTAACCAAAATTATGCATAATCGACTATTACAGTAACAGAACCATAAACAGAAATCACTTTTACAGCAGTCTGACTTGTGTTTTCTTCTTTCTTCCGGTCTCCGTCTTTGACATTCGGTTAAACACTTTTCTCTCAAACAGTTTGGGTTAATGCCAAGTTTGAATTTTGAAAACAAAAATTCTTGAGTTGAAGAAATCTAATCAAGAATCAAGTTCTGCTTTTGGAAAAATAGGCTCAGGTCGGCGGCAAATTTTGGCGAACTCGATCTGGATTGATTTAGCTACCTGAAAGGCAACTATGGTTTTAGAGGAGCTCAAATTTTAGAACTCAGTTTCGTAGCTGCTAAATTTCAGTTGGTAGAGCTTCTTAATAACTGGAATCAGCTTCCTTTTTTTATATACCGAATTCTACCTTCCAAGTCACATGACACCATTCACCGGCTTTTTTCGGCATTGAATACTACCCTGGCATGTGGCAAAAACGTACACGTGTCTAATACGCCTGCCTGTTGTATTTTTGACAGCCAAATTATTTTTCAGCACCTACTAAATTTCACAACACTAAACTGTTTCGGTCCTTTTTTTTCGCAAAATAATATTTAAACTTTTTGTAACAAAATATTGCAAGCTTGCTGGTGGCCACCAACCGTGCGTCTCTGCGCCGTACGCCATGCGCCGTGCGCCGTTTGCCAATTGAGCAATAAAATTTCGCCGAATATAATTAACTGATTGCGCGTAAGGCGCCACATGTGGTTGGTTTAGCGGTAAGGCAAAAGTAAGCGAAGCGAGCGGCGCACAGCGCGTAAAGCAAAATGCTGGCTGTCTGAAGCGAGTTTCGGCGATTTTTCTAGTGCTAGACGTCGCAGCCAAAGGCATTGCGTCGGCACACGAAAAGTGGGTTAAATACACAGGGAAGACAAATTGCAAATTAACGGCAATTAATTGAGTTGTACGTGCGGCAGCGTTTAGGAAAAATGTAGAGAAAAAAAAATGAAGAATAATTTATTTTAATAGAAATGCAACACTGCAGCTGTCAAATGCAAATGTCAAGCTTTATTATTATTTTTTTTTTAGTGCTTTTAGATTGAGCGCCAAGTTGTGTAACTGAATTTATTTGATTTTTCTAGTTTCCCTTTGCAAGAAATATAAACGAAAATGAAATCATATTGTAATAAACATTAAAATCAGTTTAAATGTGACAGATGAACATTTGAAAAATATGTTTTCTATCAAAGACGCAATGCAACAAATGTGTTCCATTAAACAAAAAATTACGTAAACAAGTGGAGAGTAACACACAAATACGCGCGCCCGAAATGACAGCACTTGTCAGGCGTACTGTTAGTGTGACATTTGTCGCTGATGGAGGAGCGCAACAGCTGGGCGACACGCGAACACGCGCCGCTTCCGGTGAGCGCGCACAAAAACAACGCGATAAGCGAAAAGCAACGAAATGCTGTAAACACACTTGCCAAATGGCGCGCGCACTGCGCCCTTTACTGCTGTGCGCGCTCATACTGCAAACAGCACAACAATTGCAATGCGTCAACAATATGTTGACAGATGACAGCACATCAAGTGTCAATCAGTTGCTTGCGCTGGCGGTGGCGGAGAGTAGCAATCCCGTTCCAGTGCAAACTGTAAATAATAGTGTTAGTGTAACAAAAAATAGTGTTAGTCCACGTAGTATAAGTGTAAGCGTTGACAATGAAATTGTACAAAATGATGTTGCGGCTACCATGTTGCCCGCGACAACAAAACCGGTAACAACACCGCCACCACATCCAGCCAAAAGAAAGCTGCGCCGTAAATATCCCACGAAAATACCAAATCAAACCGCAACGGGGCCACCGCTGGGTCAGCGTTACAAAGGTAAACGGCGAAAGGTGTTGGCAACGCGTTTGCAACCGAATGCAACGCGTGCGACGCATGCAACACGCAACATGTTGGCTAGCGTTGGCGTTGGCATTGGCGACGCGCCGCAGCTGAGGCAATTGCAAATGCAGCGAATAACGGCGGAAAATATACCAAAGAATATGAGAAAGCAACAAGCGCTGCAGGAGAGACAAAGGCAACGACAGTGGCAGCAGCAGCAACAACAACAACAAAAGCAGCAGCTGCTACACGAACAGCGACAAGAGCAACAAGTTGATGAGCTGAAAGAAAGGCAGCAGAGGGTGCAAGAGCGGCATATGCAGAAGCAGCAAGCACAAAAACAACAAGAACAAAAGCTACAGCAGCAGCAACAACAGCCGCGTCTGCAAGCAAGCCAACAACAGCAACAATTCTCCTACAATCCACGCGCAGGACAATTCTACCGCCAACAACAACAACAGCAGCAGACACGCGTGCAACTACCAACACAAAATCGTCAACAACATCACAACTTTCCACCACCACCGTCACGCGCCGGCGATGCGCCAGCTACCAGTACGTTGCGCGTCAGCACATCCATTGATCGTCATCATCATGAGCATATTCAAACGAACACAACAACAACGATCCGGCAACATATCGAGCATGAGCAGGAGACATCTTCAACTCGTCAGCAACAGCAAATACAACAACAGCAGCAACAACAAACAAATTTCGTTAGCAATTCAAGCAGCACAGTGTCTAGACATCAGCAACAACAACAACAATCACAGCAACAGCTACAGCTGCAGCAAAAACAACAACACACCATCTACGATACGACAACCATCCAAAATCGTCAAGATCACGTTGTTATTCAGGGTAACGCGGATATTGTGGTATATCGTAATATTGGCACTCTGCCATGTCCACCAGGCGTGCGTTTGGTGCCGCATCGTTTCATACCGGTGCGCGAACCGCAGCGCCCAAGGCCAAGGGGTAAGTTTGTGTTTGGAGATTGCATGGAAATTCGCTAAGGAAGCTAGTTTTAAAAATTTTTCTTAAATCAAAAAACAACACAGATTTTTTGTGTCTCGCACTATTTCCGCATTGATAAGTATTTATTCTTCTTCTTAATTGGCGTGGGCACCGTAACGCGATGACAGTCGAATCAACAATAGCGTGTTAATCGGGGCTTTTCTTCATTCTCCACCAGATCCTTCCAACGGAGTAAAGATCGTGGTATTCTTCTGCTTCCACCGGCAGGTACTGCTTTCATTCATGGTGTCAGGGTGACATGACCTAGCCAGCGTGGCACTGTCTCTTTTTTCTTCATTTTCTTAACTATGTAAACATCAAGTATAATTCGTATTGCTCATGGTTTCATCGTCTGCGGCATTCGTCCTAGACAGTGCACAAAGGACTATAATAAATAAGTAGAGTTTGGTCTTCATTCATCGAGAGAGGACTTAACTTTTGAATTGCCTACTCAGTGCAAAAAAGCACCTTTTGACAAGAGTTATTCTATGTTGAATTTCAAGACTATCATAACTGTTGTTATAGGTGTTAATGATGGTTCCTAGATAGACGAAATTATGTACGACCTCGTTTGTTTGACCATTCGTTATTCGTTCACTACCAGAACCATTCGCTTCGCTTTGTTATCAAGTCTGGAGAAAGCAGAACTCGCGACGCCAATAGTGTCAATATCATCGGCGACCGGCAGCAGCTGTTCACTGTTATATAAGATTGTACCTTCTCTATTCAGCTCTGCATCTCGTTTTATTTTCTCAACCAATAAATTAAAAAAGTCGCACGAAAAGAAGAACCCTGTCTGAAACCCTGTTTGGTCTCGAACGGCTCGGAGAGGTCCTTTCCGATTTGAACGAAGCTTTTACTCTCGCTCAAGGTCAGTTAAGACAGTATAAGTTTTGCGGAGATACCAAATTCAGACACAGCGGCGTAAAGACAGCTCCTTTTCGTGCTGTTGAAGGCGGCTTTAAAATCGACAGAGAGGTGGTGAGTGTCGATCTTCTTTTCACAGGTCTTTTCCAAGATTTAGCGCATGGTGAATATCTGGTCAATGGCTGACTTACCAGATCTAAAGCCACACTGATAAGGTCCAATCAGCTGGTTGACGGTGGGCTTTAGTCTTTCGCACAATGCAGTAGTTAAGAAAGCTTATTCCACTGTAGTTGGCGCAGACTATGGGATTGCCTTTTTTGTGAATCGGGCAGAGCACACTTAGGTTCAAATTGTTGGGCATGCTGTCATCTGACCATATTTTGCAAAGAAGCTGATGTAGGGAGTCTGAAATGCCGTTCCAAAGTTCGCTTATGCCGGATTGCTTATGAGTGCTCCCAGAGAGCAGGTGTGCAAGTCTGTTGTGATTGCATCTTTTCGACGTCGAACCTTCCTTGTGTTTGTTGACGAATGTTTTTAGATACACAGAGGCGTGTGCTGCAACAAGATAGTGACCCGAGTCAATATCGGGTCTTTGGAGTGCTCGCACGTCAAGAACACTGGAGACATGTCTTCCGTCTATCACAACATGCTCCGGTTTTCCGATCAGGGGCAGCCAAGTAGCTGGGTGAATTTTCTTATGCTGGAATCGAGTTCTATAGACAACCATATTTCGTGCCCCGGCGAAGTCGATCAGGCTTTGTCCATTTGGGATATTTAGTTGTGGAGGCTGAATTTTCCGACCTTCTTTGCCAACCAGGCATTAAAGTCGCCAAGCACGATTTTCACGTCGTGTCGGGGGCAGCGCTCGTAAGTATGCTCCAGGCGCTCACAAAAGGAATCTTTGGCCAGATCATCCTTCTCTTCCGCCGGGGCGTGGGCACAAATCAGAGATATGTTGAAAAATTTCGCTTTGATGCGGATTGTGGCGAGACGCTCATCCACCGGAGTGAAGTACTCAGCGACGGAGTCTCTCATCTTCTTGTCCTTGCCCCGTCCATCGCACTTCTTGTACGGCGGTGATGTCAGCCTTAGTTTAGCGAGGACATCAACCAGCTGGGCATCAACATCTTTCCAATTAAGGGACCGTAAATTCCAANGTGTTTGGAGATTGCATGGAAATTCGCTAAGGAAGCTAGTTTTAAAGATTTTTCTTAAATCAAAAAAAAAAAAAAAGATCATAAAACTTTTTTGCTTTTCTGTTCTAGGCCCCGTCTTTTGGAAGAAAGTAGTCCTCCCGTGGACAAAAAAAAAAAAAAGAAAAAAAAAAAACATGGATTTTTTGTGTCACCCATTATTTCCGCATTGATAAGTATTTCTTCTTCTTCTTCATTGGCGATGGCACCGCTTACGCTATAACAGTCGAATCAACAATAGCGTGTTATTCGGGGCTTTTCTTCATTCTCCACCAGATCCTTCCAACGGAGTGAAGATCGTGGTATTCTTTTGCTTCCACCGGCAGGTACTGCTTTCATTCATGGTGTCAGGGTGACATGACCTAGCCAGCGTGACACTGTCTCTTTTTTCTTCATTTTCTGAACTATGTAAACGTCAAGTATAATTCGTATAGCTCATCGTTTCATCGTCTGCTGCATTCGTCCTCCAGTGCACAAAGGACAATAATAAATAATTAGAGTTTGGTCTTCATTCATCGAGAGAGGACTTAACTTTTGAATTGCCTACTCAGTGCAAAAAAGCACCTTTTAACAAGAGTTATTCTATGTTGAATTTCAAAACTATTATAACTGTTGTTATTGGTGTTAATGATGGTTCCTAGATAGACGAAATTATGTACGACCTCGAAATTATGGCTGTCAACAGTCAAATGTTTGTTGTCGAAGCAGGCTTTAAAATCGACGGAGAGGTGGTGAGTGTCGATCTTCTTTTCACGGGTCTTTTCCAAGATTTGGCGCATGGTGAATATCTGGTCAATGGTTGACTTACCAGGTCTAAAGCCACACTGATAAGGTCCAATCAGCTGGTTGACGGTGGGCTTTAGTCTTTCACACAACGCACTGTAGTTGGCACAGACTGTGGGATCGCCTTTTTTGTGAATCGGGCAGAGCACGCTTAGGTTCCAACCTTGCCTGACCATATCTTGCAAAGAAGCTGATGTAGGGAGTCTGAAATGCCGTCCCATAGTTTGCTTATGCCGGATTGCTGATGAGTGCTTTCAGAGAGCAGGTGTGCAAGTCTGTTGTGACTGCGACGTCGAACCCTCCTTGTGTTTGTTGACGAATGTTTTTAGATACACAGAGGCGTGTGCTGCAACAAGATAGTGATCCGAATCGATGTTGGGTCCTCGGAATGCGCGAACGTCAAGAACACTGGAGACATGTCTTTCGTCTATCACAACATACTCGATCTGGTTTTGCGTTTTTTCGATCCGAGCAGCCAAGTAGCTTGGTGAATTTTCTTATGCTGGTATCGAGTTCTACAGACAACCATATTTCGTGCCACGGCAAAGTCGATCAGGCTCTGCCCATTCGGGATGTTTAGTTGTGGAGGCTGAATTTAAAGACCGTTGTGGCGCAGATACCTTCTTTGCCCAACCTAGTATTGAAATATCTAAGCAAGATTTTCACGTCGTGTCGGGGGCAGTGCTCGTAAGTATGCTCTAGGCGTCCATAAAAGGAATCTTTGGTCAAGTCATCCTTTTCTTCCGCCGGGGCGTGGGCGGAAATCAGAGATTTGTTGAAAAATTTCGCTTTGATGCGGATTGTGGCGAGATGCTCATCCACCGGAGTGAAGTACTCAGCGACGGAGTCTCTCATCTTCTTGTCCTTGCCCCGTTCATCGCACTTCTTGTACGGCGGTGATGTCAGCCTTAGTTTAGCGAGGACATCAACCAGCTGGGCATCAACATCTTTCCAATTAAGGGACCGTAAATTCCAAGTACATATTCTAAAATCATAATCCATAAAAAAACTCGGGGGTCCCCAACCGAAGCTGATTTAAATTTTTCATTGGTTTTGCCCTACGCACAACCGTAAATATAGTATTTAATCTTCGAACACATATCTTTTGTTATTTTTTTATATATAAATCTTCTAAAACTATTTTGTATTTATGTATGTACGTGTGCTTATGTTACTTTCAATGAAACAAAATCCAAATTTTTCGGGTCAACCAAGCAAAAAAACTATCAATTTTCAGTTTAATTACCCATTGATGTCAACATATTAAGACACTTAATAAAATATTTAATACTTGCAATTGAGACGCTAATGAGGGCTTTGTAGAGATAAGAGGTTAAGCCTCAATAGTGAATACTATCAGCTTATACGGTGGACAAACAATGCGCGGCTGCTATTACGAAATTTGTAAATATGATAATAAGATCATAAATCTAAAATAATAATTTAAAGAAATAAAAATTATTTTTTTTTTTAATATTTTTTTTTGTTTTTTAATTTTTCTTTAATTGTTTTCCTCTATCTTTATAAATTTTTCCTCCGCGAGTTGACAAATGATTGTCTTCGCAACAGAAGACGACGCAAAGCGGCATGAGCGCTATGAAGTATTGAATTTCAAAAAAAAAAAAAAATATTGATAATAAAAAAATTATAATAAAATTGATGTCAAATCCAAGGAGGGATAAAAATAGCCATATGTTAGGGCGCATAGAGCTTGGTAGAGGAAATGCAAGCTTACGTTGCGCCATAACCTTAATAAGCAGAAAATTTAAGCACATAATAAAAAATGTGATAAATCAAAAAACAAAAACAAAAACAAAAACTGAAAAGATTAATTTAAAAAATTCATAGATTTAAGCAATGATAAATCAAAATGTGTAGCGCCTAAAAGAAATTTGTCAAGCAAAGCAATTAATTATTGTTATTAATTAATAAAGAAAATTTGAGTTGTTTTTTGCTAAAATTAAATGAAAAAGGTCTAAAATAAAAAATAAAAAATTTTAATTATTATTTTAACCATAAATAGACTTTTGAGTATACCATATATTTATAAATATATATACTACATACGTATGTGCATCGCTACGCTAAGATTACTAGAGAAAGTCAATCATCACAAAT